AAATCCCCGTTCCTCGCCACGCGCAGGCCTTGCGCACCTCGGCAACTACACGCCCACTCACGGTGTAGATGGCTACCTACCACTCGTAGATAATGGATCAAAGTTTCATTGACAAACACCAATTGTCATCCCTTTATTGTCAAACCTCCATTACCGATCTTCTATTGCTAATTCTTCACGGTCAATATTTCGTTCTCGATTGAACATTCTTAAACTACATTGCTAATACTCCGTTACGGAGCTAAGGCAAGGGAACCACATGCGATTATGCGCATCTTTTTCTGGGGTAATAACTTTTATTACCTATCTCAACTTAATTTAGATCTAGTTGCGCTACAACAGCAAGTACTTTATAATGCAATAACTGTTACGTAAAATTATAATAACGCAATTACTGTTGTACAAACACAGAAATATCGCCCGATAATGAGAAGTTATTCTAAGAATGTCATAAAACCGAGTTGCGGCATTCCTTTGTTGAATGTCAAACTAATAACTTCTGAAAAATTCTACCGACAGAAGTACAAGAATCTACAAATTCGAAAATGTAAAAATTAAGCAAAACTGATCATATTTTCAAAAAATGTACTTGAGTATTTAAAGATACTAGCGTACCCGTACCAGAACTCTCGCATGTTGATCTCGACACTTTCCCTATCCATTTTTCTATCCTTTCCATTAATAAGGAAATTTGTTCATGATACGTGTTTATTTGTTAAAACAATGTTACATGTAAATTACTTACACAATATCAAACAAAAAAACAATGCAGTTGATGTTGCAATCAAATTTTCAATTAAGGTTTATTCATTATTATAAAGATATGTTCTTCGAACAATTCATACTTCCTTAAAACAACATTGGAAGTAATTATTCAATCTTACTTGGCAGTTAGCTTTTCGCTTTCCTTGATAGTCACAAAAATATTGGAAACATTTTTTATCTTGAGAAAGCCAACTTAAGTTTTCCATGCGAAAATGCAGGATCGGCCATGTACAACCCTATTCTTTGCAATATTATTTAACTTTTCTTGTTTTTGTTATCAGGAACACAGGAGGTTTTGGAGCGGTAGGGCGCCAGCTTGCTGGGGTGAGAAAATTGAAAAATTATTTTTATACTAAAAAGCATTAGATTATTTTTTGCGTTCTTACGTACTTCAAGAAAAAAATTCCGAGCCAAAAAATAAGAAAACTAATATTTTCACCTTTGAGTAATAAATACCATTCGTGACCATGAGAAACAATTCAGAAGGTTTAGATTTTACTAAGGTACATGGGGATGTTGATCAAACGATGTTTACATATTGAATATCATAGCGAACCAACACCTTAAGTTTAATATCAAACGGTGTATTATTTACAATATGAGTTGTGCATTGATATACAGACTTCCAGGTATATTTAAATCGTGCGTCTGGATTGTGATCGTTGGCAGTTGTCGTGTGGCTTACGCTATTCTTTCTATAATTTTAAATTTGGTTACTCTTTTAAATTCATTTACGTAGTATTGCAGGAGTTTTGATTTTTGTAGTTCATTTACTTCAAGCTATTTTACTTTAGCTAATTTAAAACGTTTGTTGTTTGTGTTCCGCCATAGCACAAATTTTCCGTACTTCCTCCGTATACCAGTGTGAGAACTCTCGCATGTTAAACCCTATACTCTTCCCTATTCTTCTAGTCCCATTCTAAGAGGGAAAGTTGTTAACGAAAAGTATTATTGTGTTTAAAAATGTATAGAGGCAACTTTCAATAAACTAACACAATATGAAATAATTTAAAAAAACAATGTAACTGACATTGAGAAGAAATTTTCAATACAGATTTATTCAGTGTTATCAAGAGATTTCTTGGAACAATTCACAACACTTCCTTAAAAATATTTGAAGTAATTATTCAATATTCTCTGACTGTTAGCTTTTTGTAATAGCAACAAAAATATTTTAAAAAAACTTTTTTCCTATTGAGAAAAATACGTAACTAAACAGGCTGACTTGAAAGTTTCACCAAATCACTGCTGATAACGAAAATACTGGAATAGGGAAAACACAAACCACATCTAACATGACACGTCCTCTACTCTTCACTGTACACACACAGCTCTTCACAATTATACGGCACTTGTAGACATCAGCAAAACGTTAAATGAATGTTTTTTACTACACGCATAGGAAACAATCTTCATCGGTATCAAGCAACTGTTAATAGAACTTCTAGTTGTTGCTGCGCCAGCGAATCTTGAATGAATAATTATGAAAATAAACCTCGTCAGTCTGCGCAATCCACGGTGTTCATAGAAAGTGTAAATAGTATAAGATAGAAGAATTTAAACTTAAGCGTGACGTCACAAGATGACCACCATCGCCTAGGGTTGAAATATAGTTGGCATGGTTTATCCATAAATACACCGAAGCAGCACAAATTCAATAGAATTTCCAAGAATATCTCACCCTGTAGATCACGGCAGGAGAAACATTTCTTTCAGGCCTTTAGGCTCAAAATTTTAGTTTTTTAAGGCGCTCAAACGTTCTTCTTAGGAGTGATTTAACGGTATTACTATGTGCTGGAGGTTGC